TCTACGTAGATAGTGGGGCAGGCTGGATTTGGCACAAAGAGAGAAAGAGGAGGAAATTAAAGGTTATTGCAATTTAGCTAGCGACAAAAGGAGCAAGCCTGCCAGGAGACAAAAATAGCTGGGGGAGCTGGGACGGGTTTCCTGCCTTTTGGAGCTGTCAGCTGTTCTTCAGGAGGCTGCAGCAAAGCTAGGCTCTCTCCGGCCTCGCATTGACCATGAGGCAGGATAAGGATGCGTTCAAAGGAAGGGGAGCACCACAGAGATCCCCCCCTCCCATAGCTATCCTGCCCTTAACTCTCTCACTGCCACACCAGACCTTAGTATTCAGCACCTATTGAGTCTTCCTGTCTTGTCAATGAAGCCGCGGAAGGGCCGAGGGGCACCATGGTTGGACAGGGCTTAGGGCACCGGTTGGCCTTCATCCGGCCCTGGGCTCTCTCCTCTCCTCTCTCCTCCCCTCCTCTAGCAGGGGTCTCTTGCACTTGAACGTTGTGGTCCACTAACAGAGCCAAGGGCTAAGCACTGCCCGGGGTTGCGGGTGGCCCATTTCCTGTCGCGTCCCAAAGCCAAGGGCTGAGATGTTCTGCAGGGTTGACCCCAGACCTGACACCGAGGGACTGATGTCCAGCACGGTAGGCAGAATCCACACGGTAGACCTCTCTGCGTACGGGGCACAAATGCGGCAATTCTCTTCCAAAATTAAGTTGCTGCTCTGGGCACCAGGCGCGTGGCAAGGGGGGCAGGACCAACTACACTGTCTTGCCCGTTGAACCTAAAATGCACACTTCCAAACTGTAGGTTTGAATAGATTCTTTGGCTGCCAATAGTCTTGTGGGGGGTGCTTTAGTGGCTGCTGGGTTTGCGCACTGCAGTGTTTCTCAACCTTGGCAACTTTAAGCTGTATGGACTTCAACTCCCCGAAATGTGGCTGGGGGAATTTTGGGGTTTAAGTGCCAAAAAGTTTAAAGTTCCAAAGGTGAGAAAAAAAGGAGAGCGCCAAACCAG